CTAATACCTCCAGCCCCCAAGCATTTTCAGCTTTGAGGATTTTCACTCTTATAGTGGCTTCTTCAAAGTTAAGAGACTCTGAACTTTTCTTTATTAAACTTTTCAGCTTTGAGGATTTTCACTCTTACAGTGGCTTGTCCTCTTTGTTTATCCCGTTACAGTTTTTCTTCAAAGTTAGGAGACTCTGAACTTTTCTTTATTAAATATCAACGAAGCAACTAGTATTTTCTGCAGTGATGATTTATTGTTTAGATTTAATCAAAAGGAGATAGGTAGATACCTGATGGTCTTTTTCTTTTTCTTTTCTTTTTTTTTTTTTTTTTTTTTTTTTTTTTTTTGAGAATTTTTTTTTTTTTTTTTTGCAGAGAATTGTTATTCCTCTATTTGTCAAGCTCTGCAGGGGAGCTATGAGGAGAATATGCTGCCGTTTTTCCAGTTCAGAAATGGGCATGGGGAATACTACAGACTGGAGCCTGCAGGCTTTCCAAGTATTTTTTGGTTGTTTCAGTATGTTTTTAATGTTGTTAATAATTTAGGATTTCTTTTCAATGTAATATTTGGATTGTAATAGAGACAAGAGAAGCAGAAGTCGGCTATTTTATTATCCAATGTACACAGTTTCATGTAAACCACAGAAAAATGAACAGATCAGCTACCCAATAACCTGCCAGAAACCACTGCTTTGAACTCCCCAGCCCTGCAACACAGCCCTCAGTGGTTTAACAAGGCTATAAAAGTAGTGCCCAAAACATCCTATTTCTTATTCTTTGCATAAATTTCGTGATGGTAGAAATGATGGTACCTGCCCCAATGGTGACTGTTGTGTTTTCAAGCTCTCTTTCTAAGATCTGAAAACTGTGGGGCTGCTTAGAAAGTACAACTTTATTTGAGGAGTAAGGCAGCCTGCTCCAAGTTGATAGTGTCCTATTTCTGTGTCTCTACATCCTTCATCACCTCAGTGCCAGGGCACTTTTGCTGTCCCATCCATCTGACACTGTTTCCCGAGGGGAATTCACCACGGCAGGATGCTGTGTGTGTCTCAGCACTGCTGGTCTCCAGAGGGCTTATGTGCATGTCCTCAGGTCTCAGCATGATGTGCAACAGGAAAGGTTTTTGGCTTCATTTGTTGTTGGACCAGTTGGCCCAAAGTTTTCTTCATACTAACCTTAAAAAGTGGAAAAATAGAGGGAAAAAAAAAAAAGGAAAAAAAAAAAAAAGGAAGCTGTCTTTAGACAGCTAGAATTTCATGTGACATACTCAACCGTTTTAAAATAACAGAGGATCATCTAGCTTAAAGAACATTATGAAGTATTTATAATAGAGTGAGACTCGCAAAAATGGATAAAGCCAAGGCATAAATATTCCCTCCACAGCAACATACAAGTCTGATTAAGCTTGACATAAGCCCAAAATATCTACTAGCTTCAAGAGTATGCATGTCAAAAGAAAAAGAGATCAGCTACATAAATATTGATGTTCTCTAATAACATGTTAAAATAGTGGATATGGAAAAGAGCAGACTGTCATTGAATGTCACTAAAAGCAAGATATTATTGGCTCTATAGTAATTTGAAAAAGAATTTTAGTTTCAATCTTGAAATGAAGTACTGCACAATTTGCAATCATCTCTAAGAGCACGAGAAGGTAAACTACAGTTCATTTGGTGAAATTGCATTTTTTTTTCCTTTTTTCCATTGGAAAAGATCAAATGAATTTGAGCATTATCTGCACTGAAATAGGGTTTAGAACACACTAGTAGTAAATTAAATAGTGGTAATAAAATTTTAATAAATTATTTAATAAATTAAATAATGGTAATTTACCTACCACAGTGTCATGTCTCTGTATTCAGATGTAACTGAGATCTAGACTCAAATTAACTGTCTGTCTTTGTCTGAGTATGCAGTTAATCTCAACACAGTTAGCAGTTTTGTGCTGTTACTTAGAATGCAATACTAGAACTTTTAGAGTGCTAATATAAATACCATTTTTTACTATTTGTATTTTAGACAGAGGGAGCTCCTTGTGGAGCTGAATTTAGAAGTTTGTATACATACAACCTGCTACTGAAATTAAGATTTGGCAAGTAGTGCAGGGCTTTTACGTGTACTTGAAGTTCTGTGAAAATTGTAAATATTAAATAAATCTGCTTAGGAAGGATAAAACATAAAAGGTTTTATGACTAATGACATCACCTAAAATATTGTTTGTGCAGGTTATTTTTCAGAGCAACAATTTCCTGATATATTGTAGCATCTTATAAAATGGTTTGATTTCAGAAAACAGTAATGTTATGAAGAGATACTCTGCTTTTGTGCTCCTTGGCTTTGAGAGACATTTGTTTTCAACTCAGACACATGTTCTTGCTGAAATGAAGCACTATGATCATCAATTGATTCTGACTCAGTTTAAACTTACTTAATTTTCATGTGAATATGTACCTGGAACAACAAGAGGAGTGACATCAGGTGACCTTTTTCCGTCAGGCAGTTTAAGATCTACTCCTTATTTATATCTCTTTGCTGGTCTGCAGGCTAGTTAAGAATAGATGCATTTTATAGTCCCTTCCATAAATAGTTTTAAGATGCTACTTTAGGGGGTGGTTTGCTGTCAACATTACCGGCGACAGTGTTTCACTCTGTGTATTTTCAGTTCCTCTCTCCCTTAAATCCTTGACTGCCTCTTCTACTTGTCTTTTCCTCTAAGCTCATGCATAGCATCACAGCATAAATACATTAATAGGAACTGAAATATATATGCATCTAGCCAATGCATTAAGAATACAAAAAATAAGGATTTTCCAGATCATGCCTTTGGTAGCTGACCTAATTTTTGGTTTTAATCAGTTTACAAAAGGAAATTTAAGTAAATATTTCACACTTTAAAAGGGTTAAAACAGTAGGAGGCTTTAGACCAGATCCTGAGCCAGTGTAAACTGGGATTGTGAAGTTGCTAACTGACAGCAGAGCTGTGTCTTATGAGGCAGCAGACATCTCAGCCAGACTCCAATATATAAGTGAAGGAATAAAACCAAGAGGCAAACTTTGCCAAGAGCTATGCAGCATATATGGAACTAATAAATGGCAGCACAGAAAATGACAAAAAAAAAGACTCCTAGTTACGGTGAGTTCGAATTAAGCTGGTGAGCACAGCGTGCTCTGAAGGGGTAGCTACTGCCTCTGAAAGTCAGTGTGGTACCCAAGATGGCCCAGAAGCAGAATCGTAACCACCACATGTAGAGATTGCTAGTGCTAAAGAAAGCTCCTGCTTCAGTTCCTAGGAAAAGATGGCTCTGCAAACATCATCTTCTCTGGAACATGTCAGAGAAGTAATAGTGCCAACAGTAATAGTGCCATAATAGTGCAGAAGTGTCTCCAGCTCCTCCCAGAAGAGCTACTGCTGGGAAAGGAGCTGATTTGATGGGAGGGACCCCATCGCATGTAGTTAAATTGCATAAGTGTTCATTTGTTAAGTGCTCCTCCGAACCGGGCTTAGCAGCTCTCCAGAGGTGCACCCATCACCGGCTATGGAAATCGTTAGGCTGCAGAGCACACAGAACCTCCGGTTACCTCCTTCCCTTTGGTAGTACCATACTATTTTTAAACCGATGCCTTGCTGGGCCGTAATTGTTTTTGACAAATTTCTGTCTATTGTCCTCGTGTTCTGCAAATTCACACGCGCTATCTGTGCATGCGTATTTTAGCCTACTGCAGTCTCACAGGAGCAATAAGTGACACCTCATGTCCTGTCACTTTTATTTTATGGACTGGCTGGCACAATGATTTAGATATCAGAGGAAATGAGTACACAAATTCATCTGATAATTTAGATCAGAGAACTCCTCTGCTGCCAGTACAGCTTTGCAGGTTTATACCAACTGATAGCACAGCCCTGATGCCCATTAGACAGCAGTGATGTGATTGTTTCTATGTGTATGCTGGTTACATGGTAGTATGAGTACATACAAATTAATGAAATTCACTTCTCAAAAGAAGTTTAATGGATCATTGAGTCAGGCGTAAATACATGGTGGGCCTCACTACTAGAGTCTAGGCAGCGATTCTGTATTGACAAGTCGTCTTTTCTCTTACGGGGACCAACTACTTTCTCAGCAATATATTTTTTTTTTCTAGATGCAGTATTTTAATGGTAGAATTTCTGTCTTCCCCCCAAAATGCATGTTAGGAAACCTCTTGGATACGTTTAGCGCTGCTTACAACAAATTCTTGGGCATAGAACAGACTGTGACTCATTTTCCCAACTATTTTCTGTAATCAATTGAATTGTTTTATGAAGGCCTGTGATGTTACTACTGAGTGTGGTGGGCAGGATTATGCTCCACCAAATAGCGTAACAAGAGGACATGCTAGCACGGTGCTGCCCCAGCTGCTGTGAGGAGGGGTAGTCTTTGGGAAGGCCGTGTCTGGGGCTGCGTCAGACTGAAAGCTTCCTCAGCACCCTGGGGACATGCAGCTGGTTAAAGCCATGACAACACACCTGATTCCCAGCATGAACTGTAACTCGTGCCTCCGTGCTGGCCAGCTGTGCTGTTCCCTGCAGGCTGCATGGCCGCTTGCAGGGCAGATCGAAGTGTGGTCACCAGATCCCCACTTACTGCTGTGGAGGGACCTCTTTGCGTCTGGCTTTTTCTGAGCTTTGCAGTAGTGACCCTGTGGAATAGCACTTTACTCTTGTACAAGCTCAGGGTATGGGTTAGAAGAAATCAAGTCTGCGTTGCCTTTCCGTAAGATTTCCTTTGCCCAAGCAGGGACAACTTTAAATACTGAAGTAGTTTAGAATCTAAAGTGAAGAAGAGGCGGGTTAACTCCCGTATCAGCATTCTTTGCAGTGCCTTTGAGAGGAGCAGAGCTGCATGTTTAAGGGACTTTCAAGCAAAGTCTGCTGTGAATACGAGTCAGAATGTGGCACAGGCTCTGACACCAGTATACACAAGCAGATCTGTGTGGATAATGTGAGCTTTTTTTTCTTTTTAATTTTAGAATCAACCTTGTCCTATGTTAGGCAGCTGGAGGCCAGAGTAAGACAGCTGGAGGAGGAAAATCGCATGCTACCCCAGGTGGGTGACTTTCTGTTGGTGGGAACAGCAGTGGGTAGCTAGGCAGCAACTCCTGAGTCTTGTGACTTGCTTGAGATCAAGTCCGTACGCCTTGTGATCTGACACTGCATTTGGGTAATCGGAGGCTCTTGCATCTTTGGCTTCTTTTTCTCATGACTGGTGTATTTAAGACTATGGCAATGCTTTCATTCATTTTTCTCCTCTGCAGGTATTGGTACCTTGCTAAGAAAAAATCACTGGAAGCTACTACTTACGTTATAATTAAATATTCATTGATGAATTGAAAATTGCAGTGAGCTGGCCCTTTACATTCTGGTTTTATTCCATTAGATTCTTGTAATTAGAGTATCAAATGCATTTTTATAGTTAACTAAAATGTTTTGCCCTGAATACACAAATGTATTATGTAATATTTGGGTTATACTGTTTCTAATGTTTTGAGGGATATGGCAGGTACTTAAATGCAAGACTGAAATCAAGTCAAACAAATAAATAAACAAAAAAGAAAGTTTTCCAAATATGTTTTAAAAAGGAAAATTTTAGACGTTCATTACGAATGAATCAGACACTTGTAATTTTTTATATATGAAAATGCATGCTAGACTACATTTCTATGGAATTAAAAATAAATAATCCTTCAGAAAATCGGTTATGACTCCACATGAAATTGCCCTCTGGAAGAAAAACTGCACTTCAGTCAAGTGAAGCACTAGTTTAAATGAAGTAATTGCTCTGAAGAATGAAAATATTTTTCATTGAATTTAGAACACTGTCATTTGAATAGAAAATCCAAGATAACAGTAAAATGTGGGAAGAAGCAAAATCCACTGACTCTGATTTATTCATTTATATAAGCCAAGATGCAAATTCTTAGCTGGGAATATTTACTTTCTTAAGCAGATTTTAAGAAAAGTTTTTGTTTGTTTGTTTTTAATTTATTTTTTATTTTCTTTTATTTTTTTTATTTTGTAGTGTAACAATTGCCAAGGCTTCTTTAGTTTCTTCTCTTCTTTCGGTCTTGACTTGTTAGGTGACTTTATGAATTATTTAATTTCTCTGTACCCTAATTTGTTGTTTCTGGAAAAGACGGGCAACAGGAATGCTTGTATCCAGTAACATTTACATGATCTTCAAGAGGAAAGAAAGGACTCCTGTCTGATAAGGAGTGTTATTTTCTTGTTGAGGAAGGTATTCAGGGCAATTGCTAAAAAAAAATAATAATAATAATTTGCCTGACAAGTACTGTTGTGATTTGTCTTAGATCTGAAAGAGTACGGCGAGATAAATGATTTAGAATATTTTTTGTGGGCCACCATTAGAAGTGACCGTATATTTTATTTTTTCTCTGCTTTCGAGGTGTCTGGATGGAGGCCATTAAGTGGGTTGCCTCATCATGGCAAAGCCTGGAGCACCCACATTCCCAATGTTGAGCTCTGTAAAAGTATTTTTCCTGGGGTTTCAAAACCAGAAACTGGGAAAACAGTGCCTCCCCCTGTAACTATTGCGAAAGTGATCAAAACAAAGTATGCTGAATGTGGGATATTTAAGAGGGGAAACTAAGGCAGGAAGTTTACAAATTGCTTTTCAGTGACACACAGGTCTAAAGCTTGTCATATGTTTGGTTTTGTTGGCGCCAGCATTTTCAGTAGAGTTCTGAATAACATCCCAACACCTCTGAATAGTTTATCATAAGAAATGATGAGTGATGTGGGGCAAGAAAGTCATTGCTTTGGGGAGAGGAAGAAATGAAGACATGAGGCTTATTCTGATAACACTGACATAACGTTTGTATGAGTATTCTTGGGGAGTTTGTTGTCCCTGTGAGTGACACCCTGAACGTGCTGTAACTGCTGATCAGGCCACAACAGAAAGACGAGGACACTGGGTGGAAATGCATGATTTCCTGACACCCGTTTGGTTCCAGTCAATGAGAGGAATTGGAGCTTGTTACGCCAAACACAGCACTTGACAAATCAGCTGAAAATATATGACAAACTATGCAACAGATGAGGGGTTTTGGCCCAGCTATTACCTAATTACACTGCTGTGCCTTAAATTTTCACCTGTGCTCCAATGAGAGTGTCTGTTGTATTTTACGCAAGTCTCGGTTATTTCTCCCTGGTTGGCATTTTATAGCTCTAGGAGGGGTGGAAAGTGGCCGAACTGTGCTTAGTGTGAGAGAGGTGACAGCTCCCACTCGTCACCGGGACTCACTCTTCCAATAGTTCTTACTGGAGAGTCCCCTCCTTGCCACCTAAGACACTCTTTTTCTCTCCTCCTGACGCACTTCTGCTCTTTTTCCCCCCTGCTTTCTCATAAGTATCTATTCTATTCCTCCTTTTCTGCTTATGCATCACCCATGAAAATATACCAGCACATTTGTTGGCTCCCTCTCTGATAAATCACTCCTTTCATCTACCAGTTGGTTATGATTCTTTTGCAGTTTCTTTTGCTTTGCTTGTCTCCTTCCATACATGGTTTCCAGATGCTGCAGATCGTTGACGTAAAGGTTTTACTAATACTGAGTGGCAAGAACTTTTCCAGGGAAGATAAGTATTTAGTGCTGCCATCACTGCTCAAAGGGAAAGTGAGCTGAGTTTGCTCTGCTACATGGTCTGACAGACTTCCTTGTCTGGCGAAAAGCAGTACCACTGAGTCAATATTTTAGTCTGATCAGGTAACAGGAAAGGTATAAAAATAAATATAAGAAAGACTGTTATTGTCTCTTCCTGTTCTGTACAGTTTTTCTGGTGGTGGTTTATAGCATCCCAGTGGATTTAAGAATGGTGAGAAGCTATAGTTGGGCACTAGGTTTGCTTTGTTGCTAAAGGCTATGATTAGCTGTTTTCTTTTTTTCCCCATATAGCATGGAACAAAATGTGATCCAGACTCTTTCAGTTTCTGTCCACAGATAGGATTTTTAAGCAAGAAAGCTTAACTTTCCAAGATTTCTGGTATGCAGCTAGATCTCCTGTGGAGAATGCCAAGCTCTACCAGATGAATCTGAGAGGAGGGGTGCCCAGAGCTAGCCCTGGTACCTGGTGCTGGTATCAAGAGGATGTAAGGATCAAACAGTGCATTCATATCCTGATTACAGCTTCATGGGCTGGGTTATTATACCAGTTAGGTCAGTGTGTAACTTCAGGTGACTGAAAACAGGAGAGCTCTCCCAGACCTTATGTGGTTCCTAGCTGCTAACTGTGTTTTATGCTACTGAAAATGACATCAGGCTCTGGTGTCCACATGTCAATTAACTGAGGAGTTCCTTATTTTTTCTTAGGGATACTATTCCAGGGCTGATAACCCAAGTTGAAATGTTATGAGAACGTGGACATCTGTCATATAATGACAATGAATGCATTTTTAAAAAGATATATAAAGTAGTGGGCAGGCCCTACCCCGAACAGCTTGAGCTCTGTAGTCGCAGCAAGATGATTGAGAAGGAACACAGATGTGTCCATGTCCACCTAGGATTTTGCAGGAAATATTTCTATCTTTCTTCTCTTCTGTTACATTATCACATTTTATTTTATCCTACATTTCCAGTCTTTCAGAAATCCTCTTGCTGAGATTTATGCTCTTAATTTTTCCCTCTGCTTGGCCTGATTTTAGTTATAAATCAAATTAGAAGATGGGGACTTTTTGGTTAAGCCCACTTTGTATTCACTCACTTTGTGAAATCTGTGCCATTCACAATCTAATATTTTGTCTCCTCCTTTCCATAGCACGTAGAATAATAGAGGAGAATTCTTCATCAAGAATGTGATTAAACTCACTAAACAAACCCATATTATTTAATCACATCATCAAATATTTGCTGAAAGTAAATCAGCAGCATCCACCAAGCTAGTTCTTTCAAGTAACCTTATCCTCAGTTTTTCAAGTAACCTTATAGTATGAGGCCATTAATATTGTGACATCAATTTATAGCGGATGAGGTTCTGATCAGCTTTTTTTGTGTGTGTTAAGGTATCCTAAATATAAAATTTCCACCAAGGTTTGGATGGGCTTGCCCATATGGCAGGAATTTATTTGCCATTTTACTAAGACACAAAATTCAAACAAATCAAACAATAAAATTGGGACACTATAAAAGGGGTCTCCTGTTTAGAGGAAAGGACATTCCCCCGCTAAAGGAAATTTTATCAGAGTACCCTGGATTTGCCAAATTTTAGTGTTGATTTTTATATACGTGTCCTGTAAGATTCTGAGATGCTACAGCCTTTTTCTCTAACAGGTTTATTAGTCAACAAAAGGGGTTCCTGAAGGGCCTGCTGAAATGGCTGCTTTGAAGGTGTGTAGCCAGCACTACTTTGGACTGTGCAGAAAGACTGTGCATTTAATTTGCCATGAAGATATGTGGCTTTAGGCAGAAATGTGGACAAGTATGAGATTCTACTGAAGTCTTTGAGCACAGGAATTATTGTGAATAACAGCAGCATTTTTAAGTTTTATATTTCAGTTGACAAAATGTATCCTAACAAAAAAATATTGCTAATTTGTTTGGTGCATATTTATCCATCAGCACAACAGTTCATTGCTTCCTGTGTGCTCCTTCTCCTGCCTGTTTGAAACAAGCTGACAGATACAGCCTGTGTTTTCTTCAGAGCTAATGGGGAATTGAGGGCTGAGGAAATAAGAAGAAAAAAAAAAGTCTGAAAGTCAAATGGTGATTGAACTGGCATGACAGTAACCCAGCAGGAAGAGTACACTTCCTCAGTCAACCACTTGCTTCGGGGATAAAATAAAAGCTTCCTGAAGCACAAGGCCTTTCATGTTTGCTGAGGCAGGACTTCCTATGGTAAGTGCCTAGTGGGTAGGAAAATTGTGTTGCCTGCTCAGGAGGTGGCTGCCGCTGTCCTCGGAGCGCTGATACACTGGGTGTCTCCTGCTTCTTGGCTGTTCCTGCGTGGCCAGGGGAGAGGGCTGGTTGAGCAGGAAGCCCCCTTCAAAGGGAGCTTGTGGATAAGCTGAGTGCAATTCCGGTTGTGCAGTGTGTT